TTTATATATATATTTAAATTTCTTACGAGCTAACAAATTTATCATGAGTAAAAAATAAACGAATTTAACACACTGGTCACATTCATAAAAGACTAACGCTGTCCTGTAACAGAGTTTCACTTATATGATAAATTACACAGGATAATTATTATGAAATAACGTTCGTCACACCACACTGTTAATACGAAGCTGCTTAAAAAGGTATAACAAAAAGTAAGGTTTCAATATTTAACATAGAAACGTGAGAAATACCAAAGCAAGTAGAACTGACATTCAGTATGGATAATGGATGTCAAATACAGTACTGTCGTATTAGCTAACCGACGCCCTCCTGACACCTAACATGTTTGTTTTAACAGGCTACCGGCTTAGGACCTCGATACATATTTCGTGCCAGGTATCCATATCTCACTTGTACTGTCCAGATACAGTCCCAAACTACAATCAGCTAACTCGGCAATAGTGTATATATCCACAAACGTCGGTCTTTATAATCGCAGAAAGTATTGTAACGCACAAAAACACAGGTCGAAAATGTAGTATCGTCGAAAAAATATTAGGTACTGGATTAGAGCCATATACATTATAATACATGCTATCGAAGTTATAAACGGACTGGTATGCTTATAAATACGCTACATACTTATTACAGCTACCCACTACTTTCAAACTAGACACGCACAAATGCGAAACAGACCTGATCTATCGTTAAAAATTATCGTTCTTACAAAGCTCGGTTCAGTCATGACGGTTTTTCTGTTGGATACTATAGCAAGTAATTAAAGAACGCGAGGAACTGAGTATATTAGCTTTGATTTTTTTTATAATATATCTCTGTATACATTATTCTTATAGAAATTATGTAAGTATAATTAGATGCAAAACAGGATATTAAAACAAAGACTATTTACTTGAACTAAGAACTTTTGTATACCAATCATTCATAGTTTTCCGGCGAACCAAGAAATTAACTCTCCAGTATTTGTCACATTTTTTTTCTATTCCGCTTGAAACTTCCTACACTCTACGAATAAATATCATTAGTCCGTTATAACAATTGGAAAAAGTATTAAATAAGTGGTGGCTCCTATATTACAGAAGGAAGATAGAATAACATGAAATATCTACCATTTAATTACTTTAAATATATGATTATCCGATTTTTCTATACCATTGCGTTACGTGGTGTAATTGAAATATGGACATTCGGATAGTCGTGTAAAATAACCATCTTAAAAACTAAAAACAAAAAATATGGACAATGCTTGTTAAATCTTCTAACCAATATCAATCTGTACTTGAAATATTAATTCTTCTTATTTTTCCTTTCTGATAGTCGGATATGTACAAAAGTATTTACAGATACATTTACATCACTAATATATAGTCAAATATCTCACGGGACAACTTAAATAATTGTGTATAATGGTTGCAATAATTTAGTTAAAAGTTAATACTTCCTATGACAAATCTTTGATTAAAAAAACTTATACAACTAACAAGTACTTTTAATCTACACTCGCTATAATACGATACAAAGATCTCTGTGACAAATCGTTGATGATAAAAATCTAATTACTTTTCTCTGTTCTACCATTACACGTAAGTGAAAAAATTCGGAGATCCATCCTTATATAATTCCAAAAGATTACTTTATAATAGGTATTTGTAGGGAATAATTATTTTTCATCTTCTTTAAATTCAGTTCAATGTAAGGCGCTTCTTACACCTGGAAATATTTCTCAAGTCACGACACTGACAAAATCATTTGAAACACACGAGGTTAAGCAGCTTAGTTAAAACTGCCATACTCGATTTCACGAAAACATGACTGTAAATAAAAATAAGTATAAAAAAAAGAAGAAAAAAGAAGGAAGAAAAAAAAAACTTGAAGTATGAATATCCTTTCAAGTACTACCTGAATTTCGGATGTACAAGTTGAACTTCTTTTGTTTAAGAGTTACAACTTGGCCAAAGGCACGATTGATGTACATTAATTTATATGCAAATTATTTTCATAAAAGAAGAAACTAAAAAGACACTTTTAAAAATAATAATAATAGTAATAATAATAGCAATAGTAATAATATAACAATAAATACAAGCAACGCAGATGCTACTTTTGTACAATAAAAATGTACAATAGAAAATTGTTTTTTTAGCAAAAGTATTTAGAGCCATTACCTTTGCCCCTGACTTAAAAAAAGTCTCGAAAACACTAATTCCATTTTTTTTTTGTCTTTTCTACAATACTCTACGAATGATAAGTAGCATTTCTTCTTCTCTCTTCATTTTTTAATTCACACCTTTGGTGTATTCTGTTTTCAATTGACCTAGCACTAGTTTTATATCGTAAAAAGTAGGTCGTTTTTCAGGTTGTAAGTCCCATGCCTAATAAAAAATATTTATTTAATAATAATATTTAAAACAATATTTGCATGGTCATGTTAATACATACTTGTCTCATAATATCATAAACTTCGTGTGGACAACCATCTGGGGGCTCCATTTTGTATCCCTTTTCCACACATTTTACAACATCCGCTAATGGCTGAAGTCCATAATAAAAAAAGAAATTATTTAAAAACATCAATGTAAACAACGTACAAAAGAAAAATATAAACGGAATATTGTACTCACAATTCGTGGGTATGGTACACGTCCAAAGGAATAAATTTCCCATAAGAGTATTCCAAAACTCCACATATCAGACTTATTTGAAAACTTCTGCAAATGAGAAATTGGAAATTACGTTTATACATGAATAATATTGTAGAAATTCAATATTCGAGAGTCGCTACTTAACAATGTGACATTTACATTTTGCTTTAAAGCCTCTGGTGCAGTCCATTTGATGGGCAGCTTTCCGCCTTCGAGAGAAAAATTTTCATCCCGAGCTAAACCGAAATCTGACACTTTTGCGGAGTTATCCTCCGCGACGAGAACGTTTCTCGCAGCCAGATCTCTGTGCACTACGTGTCTGGACTCCAAATATGCCATACCTGCGCACGTGTCGCTGAAAGGGAACAAAATGCATATTCAAAACCAGCTCTGTTTGACAAAGGATTTATGCGAGATGTAGTACACTGATTTCAATGAAGTTTCATTTGTAAACACTAAATATTTAACTTCTTGCAAACAATTGTCTTTTGCCAAATTTGCTTTCAATTAAGTATATTGAACTCAACTTTAATTCAAGTAAAGCGCATGCATCTTATCTCATGGTTACATCATTACCGTTCATAACCACTACCTACTAGCCTATCATATTACGTAAAAAGATACTGTAAGGAGGTCACGTACCACCATAGAAAATATAAAGCAAAGTATTTCAGTATTTTATAAACTATCCAATATTTACAGAAACGACCGACCATCCGGTTTATATGTATATAATATCACAGAAATCAGTGCGTGACACCTCGCGTTTCCTCAGTGAAACATAAATCCGACTCGATCCGTGATTCTACGTACTACGCAAAGTTGATCTGGTCCTTCTTGGAAACATGCAGTCTCCCTCTTGATCTCAGGTAATCCACCAGGGATCCTTTGCTCATATATTCCGTAACCAGGTACATGTGTTGATTATTGAAAACAAGGCCGAGCAACTTGACCAGATTGTCGTGGATCAGTGAAGTCATGAGGCTAGCCTCGGCCAGAAACCTCTGTGCTGCCTCGCTGTTATCTTTCAGCATTTTCACGGCGACCCTTTCGCCCCGATAAACGCCCAACAAAACGTCACCGAACTCTCCTTTACCGATGCATTCCCTCAATTCCAGCTCGTGAGTCTGGATCACCCAGCCAGCCTCGATGAACGCCTTTAAATCCACGCAGAAATCCTGTTTGCCCTGTTTCGGTAGGGACTTGGTCAACTGCGTACACAATCCGTCCGCGTCCTGCTCGTAATGCTCGACCAGCAAGGCCAGATTCTCGAAGAACTCCTCGTCGTCGATAGTCAACTGATTGTTCTTGTATTTCACTCTGTAATGTTGCACACGGCCTTGATAACACACGCACAGCGTATAGTCGCCGGGGAAATTCGTCGACTCCCGGACTAGGAACAGGCCGTCCTCGCGCGGCCGCAACAATCGTTCGGCAGTTTCCCTCGATATCTTCCCGTGGAACCATCTGAAACGTTCGAAGATGCGTGAGTCATGATAGACTACAAATTGATAGAAAGTTATGTTCGTCGTTAAGAATATCGAAAATGTAGAACATTCACGAATATCTTTTGTGTAAGATTTAACGTTTGAGACAGTTTGAGATGATGTGAGTTGGTTTGGGAAAACTATACTATACTAACTAATACCGAATCGAGATAAAACCAATATTATGTATACCTCTAAGGATACTAAATTATACTAATAAAAAACTATACTAATTTGTACAAAGCAGATTAATTGAACAAGAAATATTGATGAAGACGATTGGAGGACTATGTTTCTGGCTAATTCAAAGGGTTGAATTTGATAAAAGTCGAGAATTTTGTCTTCTAAATAATACACACCCGTTAGACATTGTATACAAACACAATAGGCATGCCTATCGCTGCACAAACTATATCTTAGCTACATAAATACATATATACGTACGCAACGAATTTTTAAAATCCACTTTCTTCAAAATCTCCAAAGTCTCATGTGACAAGATCTTATTCCACCTTTTTCATCTATTTTTATACAAGGAACTGCTTCTTATCCTGTTATACCATTCTTCCAGTCTCGTCCTATAGATCAAACGTTTTCCTATCGCAAGTTTAAACCTTCAAACGCGAAACCGATTTGGTCCTCCAACCGTTTCAAAACCGGTATAATTTCCCGCGTGCAAGGAACAAATACGTACGGCATAGCGTTCAGTTTGACCTCGTGCCTCGGATTCACCGATAACGCAGCAGGATTGCTAGGATTTGTGACGTTCGAGGTGAGGATTACCGGCGGTGAGCCGGTGTTCATGTGACTGGTTATATTAGGAGTGGTGACGTTCGAATGCGTAGTCATCGTCGGTGATACTGGATGGGACGGAATGTTACTTGCAGACAAGTTGGAAGGAACGTTGTGTTGCGTGCTATTTTGTATAAGGGGATGGGACGTTACGTTTGAGGGGATCGTATGGTGATTTTGATTGCCATCGAGCTTCGCTTGCCGCGCTGGCGCTGACACATTCGGGTATCCGCCACCCGCATTGTGATACGTTGGCATCGCAACTCCCGCAGTGGCCTATGCGAACCTGCAAACGACAACAAAACCGTTTTAAGCACACTTTCATCGCCGTCACGCGTTTCCTTTTTTATCGTTCGAACATGATAAATGTTCTTATATGCGAATACAATTATACAGTATATTATATTATTAATTATTAATATTATTATATTATTAAACAATAGTACAAATATACGTAGAAATAGAAGTTCATACCTCGTAACTTCCAGTTAGTATATTGATATATTTTTCCGAAAACAAAAGGTTATTCTTCATTTCTGAATTATTTTTTATGGCAGTATTTTGTATGGACATGTTGTATTCATTTTGAAGGGTTCTTTTAATGTATCTCACAATTCAAAATTTTATTTGATTAATTGAACAAGAAATATTGATGAAGACGATTGGAGGACTATGTTTCTGGCTAATTCAAAGGGTTGAATTTGATAAAAGTCGAGAATTTTGTCTTCTAAATAATACACACCCGTTAGACATTGTATACAAACACAATAGGCATGCCTATCGCTGCACAAACTATATCTTAGCTACATAAATACATATATACGTACGCAACGAATTTTTAAAATCCACTTTCTTCAAAATCTCCAAAGTCTCATGTGACAAGATCTTATTCCACCTTTTTCATCTATTTTTATACAAGGAACTGCTTCTTATCCTGTTATACCATTCTTCCAGTCTCGTCCTATAGATCAAACGTTTTCCTATCGCAAGTTTAAACCTTCAAACGCGAAACCGATTTGGTCCTCCAACCGTTTCAAAACCGGTATAATTTCCCGCGTGCAAGGAACAAATACGTACGGCATAGCGTTCAGTTTGACCTCGTGCCTCGGATTCACCGATAACGCAGCAGGATTGCTAGGATTTGTGACGTTCGAGGTGAGGATTACCGGCGGTGAGCCGGTGTTCATGTGACTGGTTATATTAGGAGTGGTGACGTTCGAATGCGTAGTCATCGTCGGTGATACTGGATGGGACGGAATGTTACTTGCAGACAAGTTGGAAGGAACGTTGTGTTGCGTGCTATTTTGTATAAGGGGATGGGACGTTACGTTTGAGGGGATCGTATGGTGATTTTGATTGCCATCGAGCTTCGCTTGCCGCGCTGGCGCTGACACATTCGGGTATCCGCCACCCGCATTGTGATACGTTGGCATCGCAACTCCCGCAGTGGCCTATGCGAACCTGCAAACGACAACAAAACCGTTTTAAGCACACTTTCATCGCCGTCACGCGTTTCCTTTTTTATCGTTCGAACATGATAAATGTTCTTATATGCGAATACAATTATACAGTATATTATATTATTAATTATTAATATTATTATATTATTAAACAATAGTACAAATATACGTAGAAATAGAAGTTCATACCTCGTAACTTCCAGTTAGTATATTGATATATTTTTCCGAAAACAAAAGGTTATTCTTCATTTCTGAATTATTTTTTATGGCAGTATTTTGTATGGACATGTTGTATTCATTTTGAAGGGTTCTTTTAATGTATCTCACAATTCAAAATTTTATTTTAATTTATTTTAAGGCATCGAGTAGTTTCCACTTGTCTAGGGAAATTTACTAAGAAATGAATTTAATTTATTTTAATATTACTAATATTTTAATATAATTAATAGCTGTTTGTTTACTTATTGTTAATTAGTGGTGAATCGATTGTTATTAACAATATGTTACTGTAGAAATTAAAGTTGACTGTCATAACCTATAAAATAAGTAGAGTACATTAACCAAACAATAGATATTCCACCTTATCGCTTTCTTTCTGTGCAAACAAGGTCATCTGCTTACGGTTACATATCGTATTCTATATCTAATCTCCAGAAACTGTGTCAAGGTCTCTTATTAACTCTATCTTGCAATTTTGACCGACAACAGCAAATGCGTTATACTCGTCGCACATACAAATGAAGCATTCAGAATGAATACGTACATGTACCTTAAATACGTGTCAATAAAACCTTCAAAATCATTACATATAGAGCGACGTGCGAATGGTGAAAAATCGTCTCAGAATCTGAAGTTCCCGGAAACGATTAGCATAACGATTCGCTTAAGCATTCGTACACTTGCTTTCACGACAAACGTTAATCAAACGTGACACTGTTACGCCATGTAAGAAGCGTTCGTGCGCAATCTTTGTGCGTTAGCATGAAACGCGATGTATCGTTAACTGATACGCAAGCGCAGAAGGGGGAAAGAAAAAGAGCAGGGCTATCGTGTATCTCAAAGACAAAATCAACACAGGAACCACATGCTCTCGAACCGAGTCCCCCACGATGAGACAAATCTTTATGGTCGTTGCTCAAGAAACCAGATATCCAAAGCTTGCTTTCTGGCAAACGCGGCACACTGAACGCCAAGACAACCTTGATAACTTTTCGATCGTGAAAACTAACCTCCAAAGACGAAACAGCTCGCCTAACAATCCGCGCAATTTAATATTACGTTTATGCTTCGACACTTTTACGAGGCAGAGCTTCCTTATTGTTAGCGTTAAACAACATAAAGAAAAGATAAAAAGTACTTAAAGTAGAATGGAAAGTAGAATTGTTTGAATAATTATTATAACCTCAATATGCCATGACGTCTGTTGATCCATGATTCAAACTGTAATAACTTTGTAGAAGGTAAGAACTGGTACTATTGACTAAAGTGGAAAATATAAGAGTTCCATATTATAAATAATAGATGTAATTGCACCAATACATAAAAATGCGTTGAATTAAAGAACATAATTTATTGTTTAAAATTTTTTTAGGAAATATTGAATGTTTATACACCACTACAAATTTCAAACTGAATCCAGTATTAGGTCGTACAATCCTGATGACTTTTAACAAACAATGCACATTTTAAAAAGCGTACAACACAAATTTAAGAGAAAGGAAATTCCTTGTTAACGTCTGCTTCTATCAACTTTTCATTCAGAGTATAATGTATGGAACAAATCACATCAAATAATGCATCAGTAAACACATAAAATCGCGAACGTTTGCTTTCATAAACTTAATTACGCATTTAGTTAAGCGCCCGTCAGAGACTGCAAAGAAGGCGAGAAACGTTTCTTCGACGCGGCTGATCGAGCAAAACGAGCACGGCGTGGACGGCGCGCACCATATTTAATCGTGCATCCGCGGTGACCGAGGTGAGCATTTAATCAGCCAGTTAGTTTAAGTGGCCATTGTTCCAACGCGCGCACTATCCGCTCGTTCCGTCCGCATTATAATGCGCTAGACACCGATAGACGACGGACATGCGTGAGAGGTGAATCATTCCGCGTGTATTTTCGAAACGGCCGGCAAACCGACGTGAACGAACATGCCCGATGCAAGCATCGCCACTCAGAGCAACATCGTCCGGTTTCCTCTGTTCACGTGGGTTTCGCGCAACGTCCTTTAAACCTCTTGTACTCATGGTCGGGATATCTTGTAAACTGAGTTTTTACCCACCCAATTATTTATTTATTAATTATACATAACAGCAGAAAGGCATTACATATCCCTTAAAAATTTTGTTATTTATTTTGTGCGTGTTTGGCTATACAATCGACTTAAATTTATCGAACTCACTTGATTTTTCCTAATTCGTAAACCTCTTCCAAACTTCACTTCCTTCTCTAAATTCTAGAATCGTTTATTTTAATTGTAACGCCATCTCTGTATTTTTTGCGCATCCAATCAATCGTTATTCACTGAAAGTTATATATCATAACACACAACGCGTCAAGGCGTAATTCGTAATACTGAAACGAACACATTGACATTCGACATGTTACGCTGAATATAAGACTTTATCTCGTAATGTAAAAGATATATGCGTCATACACAACATATTACATCATACTTGTAAAAGCACAGTAACTCGAAACGTGAACTATTCCGTCTATGATCACAGCACCACCTCAATTGACCCAGCGCCATCACGTCGGTAAGTTGCCACGGGAGCATTCGAAAATTCGTGAAACAGTCCGATATAAAAAATGATCGATTGAGATATCTCGCACCTTCCAATATTGATTCCCACTGCTATGAAACAATATACATGAAACATTTATTTATTTATTATTCGAAAAAATATTTTAAACATAAGTTACTTTGTTTCAAACAGATTATGATGTGTGTTTCTTTTAATAATTATAAAAATTTCCATGGATTCGAACAACGCCATTTCTCGTTTGACAAGCGCAGTGTCGTCGGAAATGATTGTTTTATTTATACTTTTTTGCGATGTAGATCGCCTATGATTCATAATAGTCATGATAAACGTATATAACGCTTTTATAAAATGAATAGAAATATTTTTCGAGAAATAAAATCAAAATATATTTATTTTAAATCAAAATCAAAATGTTAAAAATTCTATACTATTCTAATTTTTTTAATTAATGATATTATAAAATACTTTTATTTTAAATAATATTAGGAAAGAAAAAGGCACTAAGAATATTTTATTGGGAAAAGTTTTACTTCCAGCGTAAACATTGTGAGTCACTAGCATCCCACGTGACACGTAGTTTCTTGAAAAAAGAACTGTGGACATTCAAACACGTTTCCAAGAAAAGTATATCGAGAATATTAAAAGCAAAAATAACGAGGTTGGAAAGTGAGGAATTTTTTGAAGAGTTTCGCGGTTCAAGTGTGCCGCTTAAACACTGCGAATGTCAGCCGTTGCGGTCACAGTATGCTTGCGAAGCACACCGAGGTTTAGATTACCATTTCCTATAAACTTTGCTGCATTTTGTAACTGAGACACTTCGTGATACATAGAGGAGTACTGAAACGTCAGTTCAGCGGTTGCGCGGCGTGTTAGCGGGTGAAACAATGGAAACCAAGATGCAGGGATTGGAAACCTATTTTATGCTAACCGTATTAAACACTGTGGATTGGTTACAATGAACTTTTGTACCTAGACTGACACTCAAGAACTATTTAAGTTATACCGTTCCGTTTATGTAGACGATAATTCAGAGTATTTAACAAATATTTGAGAGAAATCTAATCTCAAATAAAATTATAATCTAATGTTTGTACTTTTGTTAATAATGAAAATTTCACATTATAATATACTAACATTTTAAAGGATACTAGTAATAGAAATAATATTTATTAAAATGATAAACATACAGATAATAAAAAATATTCAAAAATTTCTTGCGATTACATGAATAACATTTCTATTTTATACTCATAAGCCACTATACTGTCGTATAGAAGGATTTTAATAAAAGACTCTTTGCACTTTGAACGAACATGCATTCTAGGAAATAATTTCATCGAACAGGAATCTCTATTACATATTTTCAAACATTATCATAAATAAGGATAAAAAACTAACTTATTTCTACTAGAAATTAAATAACGCAAGAAATAAATAATTTCTTTATCTAAAATGCTTCTAAATCTAAAAAATCGTAACATACTGAAAAAGAGATTAAAAAATACCTATAACCTCAGTTATTTCAAAATTACAAATTTCTTCTTCAGTACCAAGGATTCTTGCGAACATCCACAGAATTAAATTAGGTTGAAGAATTAAATATGTTATTTGGGAAATAACTGAAAATTTATTCTCAAATTCATAATATATCATAAGTATTATTCTGTAACAAATTCTCCCTTACTTTAAACAAGAATCTGCTGGTTTCTATAGCATAATTGGAGGCAGTAGCGGCGAGACAAATCCGCTGCACGAGCAAACATTGAATAATTCAACTGGAGTTTATCCTTGGTCGGTGTCTATGACGAGCGCGTTATGTCACGCGAAAATATATTGCGACGGCCGGACATACTAATACGAGAATCGTCATTACATAAGTATGAATGGACACGTTTTATTGTCTCCTTTTCGAATTTCGAATAAAGCGTGTCACTCGTCCACTGTAGAATGGAACTTTCACATTGAATATCGCTCTCGTAAATCCAACTTTTAATGGCTATTATGGTATGGTTATTGGAAAATATGATGTTTTTTTCTAACTTTGATCTTCTTTTATATTTCAGTATTTATACAATTATTTCCATGTTTGTCTAAGAATATTTATAAAGATAAGAAAATGATTAGTAATATTCTGTAAATAATGAAAAGTATTAAATAATATATTTAATTTATATTTTTAATAAAATGTATATAATGAATGAAAAACTTACATTTTCAATTGTTGCATAGAATATAATTTAATCGCGTCCTCATTAAACCGGAAGAACATACAATAGATTGCAATGATTCAAAGAACCTTGACCAAGTTTGTTCGAAATGGAAAAATTGTGTCCGATATTTTCTCTCCATTTTTCAGTGAAGTACTAATTAATTAATTATAAAGACATTTATAACTAATGATAGAATTTCCATAATCTCATGATTGAATAAGGTAGAAGATGAAGGTAAAAAAAAATGTAAATTGAGCTTCATTGATAAATCTTTGGAAAAATACAGCAACGAGATGGGCATACAAGGCGTGCATTCATTATGGAAGCAACACCAAAGCGTTTAAATATGCAATATGCATCAAACGCTGTACACATGTTTAATAATATCCGTAAAATTGATTAAACCTGCGAAACAGAGTATGTACATTTATTGTTGATAAACGAAGTTCTAACTATAACTATACAAACTTCCGACAACACTATTTTTGGCAAAACTAAACACAGGAATATCGATGAGGCTGTTGCAGGAATATTGCCCATAGAGGCCGATAAGTAAACTTAACCTATGCATAAATTTCTAAAACATAAATTACCTTGCAGCATTACTTATCATTGAAATAAATCGAATAGAACTTCTGAATAAACACTTCCTTCTCCTTGTATGAATTCTATAATTATTAAAAAAATTATTAGTCAAATTCAAACCTCTAATATACGATCTTTTCCTACTGTCTAAACATACGATAGCAAACAATCAAAAATATCCAACACGTAAAAACTTTGAGTGAAAATGCCATATTTGATACCTCCATTCTAACAATACGTTCCGTGTATATTCGCATTTATATTCCATATTATTCCAACAAAATATCAAAAAATATCCTTACTCGTTCAATGGAAGACTTGCTTCCGGCGAGCAACGAGACGATAAAACGCGATAACGTCTACGATGAATACACGTTAAAACCTTAAACTTCCCCCTGAGATCACGCAACAAGTGCTTGACCGTGTACGTTGCTTGAAAATTCACCAATTCTTACGATTCAAGACATCTCGTGGGAAGGCAGCGCTATCTATGCAAATCCTTACAAACTACCAAAAGCCCGACGAATTTCTCACGCGGTAAGGGAAGCCAATCTCTTAGTCAGTTGTTCCTTGTTAGTCATGGCAATTAGCGTGAACGAACGGAAATTCGGGGACGTGGATCGCACGCATCAGCGACGCAGGTGGCGTCGAGACTGAAGGAAAGGTATAACGTGACCGGCTCGAATAATAAGCGATTCGATTGCACACGATGCGCCATCATTGGGAAGGATTCACAATTTTCGGTATCGACCAAGCGTTTACTACTTCCCGCCGTACCGTTCAGCGCCATCTTGTTTGCACTGACGGATTACAAAATAGAGACAACAGGGCGAAAATTGCAACGGTTCCCAAATAATACTACATTTGAGTTAACAATACATAACACAACTATAATATGTTTGTAAATAACACGGAATTAACCACATTGTTCTAGGATAGCTTATATATATCTTACAAGGGAAGTTCTAAAATTGTTAACCCTACTTTTTAATACATCTACTATATATAAAGTTTAACACACGTTATAAACAAATATACCTTTTTAAGGACAAGGCAACGACATTGAAAATTCAAAATTTATGAACTGTAAAACATATAACTACACTTCTAAAAGATAATGATACATGACACATATTTATAAAGCTATTCATATGAAATACTCAAACGATAAAAAATTATTTCAACTTTTTAAAATCAAAGGTAAGTTACCAAAATAAATGCTTAAACAATGTCTTAATTAAATAATTGAAGTATACAGCCGTGGAATTAATGCCAAATATATATTGTATATCGGTAAATATTGTTATTTAAATATTCTTATATAATTTATTATTATTTAAAATTTATTTAATTTTTGCTCTAATATTATTACATCAGTTCCACAGCTTATGGACTAAAACTTACAAAATCAGATGTACAGAGAGCGTATCAGCACACGCAATAAGGTTTCAAGGAACACATTACCCGACCGTAAAACTTAAGTGCGAACAAAAGGATCACCGAGCGGAAGTAAAGCGAAGTGTAAACGCAAAACGAGTTTATCTCGTGAGATTTTTACGATAAACATGCGGAAAATGATACAATAGTAGGTATCGGGTGTTCGAGAAACGATGACGCGATGTTACTCGCGTTTACGCAAAATACTAGCCTGTAATCCTTTGTTACGACCAATAAAGCGGGGAGTAGCTTCGGGATCGTTTGATAGGAAAGGCAGACACGGCTGCTTGCTTGCGGCGCGAATCAACTCGTTTCTATCGCACGCGATTAACGAACGGCTAGCTATACATTGAACGTGCTATCGAATGGCTCAATTGAACCGC